ACTTGTTTGCTGCACATCTACGAAGTGCGAATCAGGGAGTAGTATAATGACACGTGTACTAGTACACCTTGTACGGTTGCACTGCATCTTTTCCACACGCATAGGACCACTGAAGGTCACATGCTCCGCGTGCGTATGCGCGCATGCGCAATATGTCATTCGCTGCATGCAATGCACATCTATGATGTGCGAATCAGGGAATAGTACGTATTTTACTACTCCCTGGTGCGAATGCACCGAACGTGCACAAGTGCACGGTCGCCACGGAAAAGAACATGACGACATTTATGACATGGCAGGGCCAAAGGTCGAACCCTGGGGGAGTCCCGGGGCCAGACCAAGCGCGCCCGACACAGTGTGCCTTATTTAACCCAAAGGTCAAAGGTCAAACCCTGGGGGAAGTCCCGGGGCCAGACCAAGCACGACCGACACAGTGTGCCTTATTTGGCCCAAAGGTCAAAGGTCAAAAAGTGAGCCAGAACCTGCCCCGCACCTACTACTTACATTGCCAATTGCTGACCCGCGCAGATCAGGGCGGCGGGATAACGCATCAGCCATATTTTCCTTGCCGGGTTTGTGATTAACTGTGAAGTCATAGTCTGCAAGAAATTCAACCCATCTAGTTTCGCGCTTAGTGAGATTGGCTTTTGTGCTCAAGTAGACTACGGCCATGCTGTCACTGAACACTTCAAAATGCTGGAATAGATAAATTCTCCAGGATCGCAGTGCAAACACCACCGCCAGGGTTTCGCGTTCTGCAGCAGTGTAATTTCGCTCCGCTTGCGACAGCTTACGACTGGCATATGCCACAGGATGCCAAGCACTATCGCTTTCCCCCTGTTGGAGAAGGACGCCTGCTATTGCAAAATCACTTGCGTCTGTTGCAACTCTGAAAGGCTTCTGCACGTTTGCTAGTTTCAACAGCGGTGCACTCAACAAGGCCTGTCTCAGGGATTCGAATGCATGCTGACGGGGGCCACTCCATTCGAACCTGGCATGTTTGCCAGTGATCTCCTCTAATGGTCGCGATATAGTAGAGTAGTGCTCAATAAATCTTCTAAAGTAGTTCGCAAAACCAAGGAACTGTCTCATCTCCGTAACTGTCGTCGGTGGCTGCCATCCCTCACTGCTTTAAGCTTCTTTGGATCTGGAGCGATACATTCACCGTCGATGCGATGCCCTAGAAACAGAACATCCTTGACAGCAAACTCACATTTCGACTGCTTACAGAATAGCCTATTTTTCCGGAGCGTCTCAAGAACTGTCTGGATATGTTCAAGATGATCTTGCAAGGATTTGCTGAAGATAAGAATATCATCCAGAAACACTACCACAAACCGCCGTAAGTACGGTTGGAGAATACTGTTCATCAGTGACTGAAACGTGGCAGGGGTGTTAGTTAATCCAAAGCCCATGACCCGGAACTGGAAATGACCGAAGGGAGTATTGATAGCCGTCTTAGGTACATCTTCCTGACGGATCCTAAGCTGATTGTATCCCGAGCGTAAATCCAGCTTACTGAAGTATGAGCTACCTTGAATGGTATCAAACAGGTCATCAATGTTTGGGAGGCAAGCTTTGTTTTTGATGGTGATCCTGTTCAAATTCCGCCAATCACAAACCATGCGCAATGAGCCATCAGACTTTTTAACGAAAAAGACTGGGGCACCGTATGGTGACTTGCTGGGTTCGATGAAGCCCTTGCGGAGGAGTTCCGTGAGCTGGGCTTGCAATTCGTCCATCTCGTGTTTGGGGAGACGGTAGGCAGCCCGTGATGGAGGAACGGCACCCTCCTCAGTCACAATCTCATGGTCGACATCCCTCTCTGGCGGAAGCTCGGTCGGCAGGTCGTCTGGAAAGATGTCCGAGTACCGCCGCAGAAGGTTAGCCAGCTGCTCTTGATGATCTGGGTGTTGTCTGGCGGCTGATGGCTTGCTGTCCTCCTCCTCGTCGTCAGTAGCGTTGACCCACGCCAGGATACCCTGCGCGCCTTTCCTCAACTCGCGGCGAGCCTGAGAACCAGATATGAGCATGCTCTCAATTGGCGGCGACTCCTGACGCTCCGTATCACTATTTTGGCCGGAAGGGGGTTTAGCAACGAGCGGCTCTCCGTTCAGTTTCACTTCGTTGGTCTGAAAGTTGATATTCGGATTGTGTCTGGTCAGCCATGGCTTGCCCAGGATAGCATCATAGCGGCTCAACGGAAAAACTGTGAAAGATTGGGTGTCGCTGAAGTCTTTCACGATAACCTTTACCGAACCGGTCCTCTGCAGTCCCGATGATGTCGATGAGCCATCAGCCAGGGTTACCTTCAGTGTTTCGTCCTTGCTCTCCGTAACAAGGCCGTTTCTTTGCACGAAAGCTTCCGATATGAAGTCGTGCGTCGATCCCGAGTCAATAAGCATAATTGCCCGGCGGCCGTTGATCCTGCCCTCAACACGGAGAAGGTCATGCTCCAAAGGAAGCTCCGTGTCCTGTACTGCGATATCAACGTTGCTGACATGGGATTCCTGTTCGGCAACATCTTCCGAATCAGCTTGCAGCGTCGGTTCTTCCAGCTCTAGTACGCTGTAACGGTTGCGTATGTCAACCGGGTAACCGTTGGGTGCTTTCCGCTTGGTCGCCAGCGAGCGCACGCCATTTTTCACTGGCGACCAGCGTTTGGGTGTTGATTGCTGGGACAATCCCGAGCTAGGTGACCTGGCTTCCGACAAGCGAAGCATCCACCCTGCCGACTCAGGTGACGCCTCTCCTCCGGTGTTAGCCTTTGGGGTCGTACGGGCTGACTTCGGTGCTGAATCGGGTTCGGCTGTTGGTCCGCCGTTTGCGCTGACCTGATCGCTTGGCTCAGATCAGTGGGGTGCTCTCGCAGCACCCGGGTCTTGACAGATGGGTGCAGTCCATTTACGAACAGCAGTCCTCGGGTCAGCTCGTCGATCTCAGGCACTTGTAGGCTTAGGCGCAAGAACTCGGTGACATAGTTCTCCAAGCTTGAGTGCTGCCTGACAGCGAAGAGATCCAGTCGCACCCGCTCTTGATGATGCAACGGACCGTACACCTTGGCGAGGGCTTCACGCAGCGCTGGCCACGACGAGAACTCCACACCCGTATCCAACGATGCGATGAGCCATAGCTTGGCGTTGCCGCTCAGGAAGCCCGCTGCGTAATCCACCATCACCGACGAGTCGGTGATTCCCAGTGACCGAATCGCCAGCTCAATGGAGAAAGCCCACTCCTTGAACTGCGAGGGCTTGCCATCGAAGATCGGCGGCTCCTTAGCGTGCCGAGGCTTCCCGGACGAATAAGCGGGCGGCACAGGGAGCGGTTGTTGTCGGTTGCTCAGACGGGCGCTGACTTGGCGACTGGCTTCACGGACCTCGCTGGCCAACTTGAATAGCAACACAGAAAGAACAAGGATCGCCACGACAATGGCGAGCTCCAAGAACACCAAGTTAACCATCCTCCGCTACCAGTGTAACCGTTTGAAGGTATTCTTGGAAAAGACAATGCTTGCTCAAGGCAACACAACTGATATAGGGCACTTCGTGCCCTAAGGTGATAACGCGAGTGCTGACAGGATAGGGAAAGGTGCAAAATACAGAGCTAGAGGGCAGATAAGGTTAGCGCTAACAGGGAACTGTTACAGAGGCAGTGAGATGGTGATATGGTGAAACTGTGAGGCAGTGAGATGATGATATGGTGAAACAGCGAGGCAGTGAGATGGAGATATGGTGAAACAGCGAGGCAGTGAGATGGTGATATGGTGAAACAGCGAGGCAGTGAGATGGTGATATGGTGAAACAGCGAGGCAGTGAGATGGTGATATGGTGAAACAGCGAGGCAGTGAGATGATGATATGGTGAAACAGCGAGGCAGTGAGATGGTGATTTGGTGAAACAGCGAGGCAGTGAGATGGTGATATGGTGAAACAGCGAGGCAGTGAGATGGTGATATGGTGAAACAGCGAGGCAGTGAGATGGTGATATGGTGAAACAGGGAGGCAGTGAGATGGTGATATGGTGAAACAGCAAGGCAGTGAGATGGTGATATGGTGAAACAGCGAGGCAGTGATATGGTGATATGGTGAAACAGCGAGGCAGTGAGATGGTGATATGGTGAAGCAGCGAGGCGGTGAGATGGTGATATGATGAAACAGTGAGGCAGTGAGATGGTGATATGGTGAAACTGCGAGGCAGTGAGATGGTGATATGGTGAAACAGCGAGGCAGTGATATGGTGATATGGTGAAACAGCGAGGCAGTGAGATGGTGATATGGTGAAACAGCGAGGCGGTGAGATGGTGATATGATTGTCTCGACTGACGCACAACCAAAACGTCTCGAGAGAGTTTCACTTTACTAATCCCAACCAATCCAGTCACACAAGTAACTACAGTTAGTGATTCCAACTTACTTCTCAAATCCGTACCCTCATTCCCAAAGAGTTACTGGATACGAGCCAAGACAATGTAACCTTTCTCTACCATCACAAAGGAATAATAACTGGCTGGCTGCCAGAGCAGCGGAAGTCAAGCCGAGAATGTCGCGTGCACTACGGACTGCACGATGGAACATTTTTTAACCCTAGGAACGGCTATTCATGCACCGACTAGAGTAGAGGCAAAGTGTACTAAATGGTGAAACACAATGTCAGTACGACAGTAGGGGACAAGAGTAACTAGAGTCAGCTATGCACGACTAGACCAGGCCGAGTCATGACAGCAGTCATTACACTACAAGTGGTACATCGGGATGCAGATCACGACACTCCGGCCAGCAAAATGTTACACTACTGGGTAAAGAGAAGAAAGGGTGATAACGAATAGAAAGCAATTTGGATCTAATGAACAAACACAGCGGGGTGGTTCTCACGAAAGGGCCTAGTGTAATGCGTGTTTTGAGCTAAGGCTGCTATGAAACTATCAGAGTTAACATGTGAGGCTAATGGAGTGTTCTCTCACTTAATAGGCAACTATACCGGGTACCTGTTGCCGAAATGGGTTCATGCGAGCCAAGATTCAATGTTCTTCGCGGCTCTTTCTGCTGCCTTTCTTCTTGGTCGCTGTACAAGTGGTCGATTTGGCGCGTTGCCCTTTCGCTGTTGTGGCTCTTCCGTCGCTGCATCGTTGGAGTCCTGGGGAGATGATGGCTCTTGGATTGCTGACACTTCCAGCGGATACAGATGAGACAGTGGACGTGAGACGATATTCCTCGACGGCAGGCGAACTTTAGCACTTCTGATGGCTTTGTCTGTTGTACTCTTCGGCAGGTCTTCAATCCTTGCAATTCTCCAGAAACCTCTCGGAGTTCCTTCCTGCTTCACGATGACGATGTCGCCGATTCGTGAAGTTAGGCTAGCAGACTGATGGCGTTGCAGTCGATGTAGTGGCGTTGATCTCTCTTGGAGCATCATGAGATATTCTTCCTTCCATTGTTTCCAGAAGTCTTCCAATCTCCGTGTATGATGACGCCATCGTCGCAATAGAATGTGCGAGGTGTCTTCGTTGTTGGTGGGATTATACTCCTCCTCTTGTTCATCCAGCGCTCCGAATGGTGCCATCAGGGACAGACCTGGGCTCAAGAAGTGTGCAGGTGTCAAGACAGACACATCCGGCGAGTCTTCGTCTGATGGTATTGCGGTCAGCGGTCTCGAGTTGGTTACAGCTTCAACCTCAGTTAATAAAGTCTGCAGTTCGTCACGGGTCAGTAGGCTACGACCGATGGCCTTCCGAAAGGACCGTTTAACTGTGCCGATCAGACGTTCATAGATGCCACCTTGCCAGGGGGCAAGCTCAGTAGTGAAGCGCCAGGTTATCCCTTGTGAGGATATGTAGCTGTGGAGATCGGGATCATTGATGACCGTGTGCCATAAATCTCGGAACACAGATGCGGCGAGTTTGAAATGCTTGGCATTGTCGGAGTATACCATGTGCGGCACACCTCGGCGAGACACAAATCTGCGAAAGCACATGACGAATTGCGATGTTGATATGTCTGAAACCAATTCCAAATGGATTGCTCGTACAGTGAAGCAAGTGAATATGCACACCCAGACCTTGTCAGTGCCTCCAGGTTGCTTGACTCGCAGCGGACCAAAGTAGTCCGTCCCAACATACTGGAAGGGGTTGGACCTTGAAACTCGCTCCTTTGGAAGCGACGGCATCGGCGGCAGGCGGAATGATTGGCCCTCATGGCGACGACACGTGGTACACTGGCGAAGAATCCTTTGCACCGCTGCCTTTCCCTTTGGAAGCCAGTAGCTGCGTCGTATCAGGGTGAGCGTGTGTGCCGGTCCAGCGTGGAGAGCTTGTCGATGCATCTCCTCGACAACAGCTGTAGTGAACCAGTGGTTCCGTGGCAGTAGCGCGGGAGGTGTGGAATCCGTAGCCTCATATGCCTTGCCAAGTCTTCCGTGGCACCGGAGCACACCATACTGATCTGCGTGGATGCCGAGTTGCGTCACTATGCTGCTATTCTTCGACTCCATGTCTGGGAAGCTTTGCTGCTGGATATGCCTCACCCAAAGGCAGTTAGATAGGCGAATGGAGGGCGTTTCAGACAGGACTGTTGCGAGGAGTGGGTGCTTTGTCCTCAGCTTCTGTTGGCTGTCACTGGAGAGTCGCTGCCAGATCTTCTTTCGTAGAAAGACCAGACAATTGGCAGTGATTCGCAATAGAGTTGACAGCTGTCGGTGTCCCGGCTCAATCCCAGCTAGACCAGTCGATTGTACGACAGGTGTGTCTTCCGTGTTGGCGACAAGTGATGCTTCGAAGACAGCCTTGGGTCCCCTGCACTCGGCCATCACATTCTTGAAATCTTCTGGAGTGATGGGAGGTCGCTGCCAGGTGGGCCAGTTGTCCTCGGCTTGTCGCAGCCAGTGAGGTCCGTGCCACCAGATGTCACTGAGGTCAGGCACAGTGGCGCCTCTCGTTGCTAGATCTGCAGGGTTGTCTTCGCTGCGAACATACCGGAATGACAGATCTTCTACTTGCTGGACTTCTTTGACACGGTTACGGACGAACACACTCATGTCTTTATGCGTAACAAGCCAGCGGAGAACGCACTGTGAGTCGCACCACAGGAAGCTCTTCGTGATGTCGATGCCGAGCTCTTTGCGCACAAATAGCAGAGCTCTGGTTGCAATGACTACGCCCATGAGCTCTAGGCGGGGTATGGTGAGCTCCCTTTTTGCTGGCGCCAATCGCATCTTGCAGAAGAGCAGTGTCGATGTCGCATCAGGTCCGTTGGCTTCACGGAGGTAGACACACGCTGCATAGGAGTCCTTTGATGCGTCACAGAAGACATGAAGTTGTCGATCGGTGACTGACTTCAGAGTGGAGGTTCGGCGTTGGATACGGATGTCTGCGACCGGCTCAAGTATACCCTCTATGGACTGCCATTGCTCGAGTCGTTCTGTGGGTAGAGCGTCGTCCCAAGATAGGTCGTCCCTCCAAAGCGTTCTCAAAAACACTTTGGCATGGAAGGTGACTGGGTTGAAGAGTCCGAGTGGATCATAAATGCGTGCTACGTTGTGCAAAACACGCCGTTTGGATGCTATGCTGTCGACGTCAGGCGACTCGGAGCTCACACCTGGAATGTGGAATGTGTCGGCGACGGTATCCCACTGCAGGCCGAGAACTTTCTGGCTCGTGTTCGTCGCCGTCACACTCGGGTCAAACACAGAGGAGGTAGCAGGGTCATTGGATGACCACTCACGTACATTCATGGACGCGGAGTTGAACACCTGCCGAGTCTCGCGGTACTTGACCTCGGCTTCCTCTGCAGTACCAGCCGTCAGCATGATGTTATCCACGTAGATGAAATCGGGTGACGTCACGGTCTGTCTCTTGAATCCTTACTTGCAGGAATGCCTTCTCAATATCTGAGATTAGCACGATCGGGGCCAGGCGAAATCGTAGCAGAATGCCGCAGAGGCTAGGCAGGAGGGACGGCCCTTGATTCAGGCAGTCATTCAGGCTCGGTGCTGTCTTATTGATCTTCGCACTGGCGTCATAGACCACTCGGAGTTTGGTGGTAGCCTTCGAAGGAGACAACACTGGATGGTGCGGCAGATGGTGCGAGCGTTGACCGCACTTGGTTTTCTCTGTGACTCGCTCGATAATGCCAAGCCGTTCCTGCTGCAGCAGCACGTCGTTGTACCTGGTCAGCAGGTCTCGATCTGCTGCAAGCCGTTTCCCCAGTGACTTCATCCTTCCGTAGGCTAGGTCCTTGTTGTGTGGAAGCTGCATGTCGGGCTTCCATGAAAACTGGACTGTGTAGCGGCCGTCGGCAAACGTGACGGTCTCCTCGAACTGTCGAACTGTGTCGTCATCTGTTGGGAGACTTGCTGGGTCCTCCACACCGATCCTTTCTAGCGACCAAAACTCCGTCAAGTTTGGTTCGACTTCAGCAAGCAGAGCAGAGTCGGCGGTTGCCATGTAGTCATATAGCGGACGCTGTAGACCGGTGCTTGCCTGTGTCATGACAAGAAGCGTTGAGCTGTTGCTGTCATCCGACTTGGACGAACACTGTCCTGTGACGATGTGACCCAAGAGCGTATCCATCACGTACAAACCTGACGGTAGACGCTGCGGTGATCCTTGCACAAGATTTCCGTAATGATCAGAACCAATGAGAATGTCAATGGCCCTTGTCTCGGCTGTTGATGGTATGGTGTCTGCCATTTGAATGGATGGTTCGCCTGCCAGGAACTCCGCATCTTCAGATGGAAGAGGGTAGCGTTGGATAGGTCGTGTAATGGTGTCGAGTACATTCGCTTTGATGGGGTACCTCTGTCCGTCGGACAGTGAGATGGACGTCTGAACGACCGATGTAACAACACTGCGTGGGTGTGTCACTCCAAAGGTGATGAGGGTCAATGACTCTTGTCTCTCCGGCTGCAGCTGAAGCTGCTTGCTGAGCTGGGTACTCATGTACGTGCGATTGCTGCCGGTGTCCAGTAACGCATGCGCGGTGATAAAGCTACCATCGGCAGCTTGAATCTGCACTTGTGCTGTCTGGAGGAATACTGCACCAGTCTTGTCACTGGGACCCTCTGACACGAGACTGGCGGAGCACGTATTTGCAAGTTCCTCATCATTACCCTGTGTGGAGACGGCCCTGGCAGGTTGTGAGCCATTTGGTTGTGGCCTTGAGCTGCCTTTGGAGGGCTCACGTCTCTCATGGGCTGGGCAAATAGCTCGGTTGTGGCCGGTCTTGCTGCAGTGAAAACACGCCTTGGTTTTCTCTGGGCACTGGGACGCCATATGGCTCCGTCGCAGACAAATGAAGCAACGACCTTGTTCTCGGAGCTTCTGTTGTCTTGTCCGAGCCAGCTTGTAGGTGACGCACTGGTCGTTGAAGTGAGTCCCCTTGCAGAAGACACATAGACGTGGAGGCGCACTATGCGTTGACTGAGATGAAAGAGCGTGTCCAGTTCCTTGCATGGTCATTGGTGAGCCGTGCTGTGTCTGTGTGGCCGGTGTCCTTGAAGACTGAGAGGCAGAAGTCTCGGAACCTTCCCGCAAATTCCGGTGGATTTCGGCATACCGCTGAAGGGCGGATCGCAGGGTGGCGACCGTCCACGACTGATGGCTCGATGTTCGCCATTCCTCTAGCTTGGTGAGTACTTCCGTAGGGAACTTGGACAAAATGTGCTGCACCAATAGTGGCTGCTGTTCAACGCTAATGCCCATGGCAGACAGCTGTCGTAGTATCCGTTCGATGTTGTCAATGGTGTTCCGGATATCACGGTGTTTGGACGATGTGCTTTGCAATCGCTGCACCTTGGTATACAGGGCAGCAACAATATCATCTGTCCGTCCGTATCGTTCTTTCAGTAGCTGTACGGCCGTGGCATAGTTGTTGTTGGTGATAGCCAGACCAGCGAGCGTGTGGGCAGCTCGGCCAGTGAGGGCACTCTTCAAGTAGCTCAGCTTAACGACATCGGACATTGGCTGTTTGTCCACGGCAGTTTCAAACAGGTCCCAAAAATCGGGCCTGTTGGTGACCTGCCCGTCGAAGCTCGGTATTTCCATCGGTTTTAGCTTGAACACAACGGAGCTTGGGCCGGCTGCAGCGGATGTGCTGGTGTGTTGTGGCGTTTGGTTTTGGCTCAAAGCCTGGGCGACATTCATAACTGCGCCCTGAAGAGCTTGCTCCAGTGGGGCAATAGCATCGCGTGGCCAGGTTGTGGCTGGTGGAGGGGCTGTCCTGGCGGGGACAGAATGGTCTGGTGGATAGAATGTTTCTGCATCTGGTTGATGCTGTTGTACTGCTTGTCTGTCCTGGGTCTCCTGCTGGAGGTAATGCTCATAGTCATAGGCCCTGTCCTCCTCACCACTGCCATAGGTGGGACTTGGGCTGGGCACCGCATGCACTGCTGGAGTGGCAGCAGTTCTACCAGTGCCAGGGCCAATGGCATGCCTGACACGTGGTTTGGGGACTGGTGGCACTGGTGATCTTGGTTGGCTTCTGACACTGACTGCTGCGCTGGTTTCCTGTGCATTTGCTGCGCTGGCAGGAGACTCAGTTGCATCTACTACATGTACAATGTCATGAAGCACTGCACTTTGTGCGTGTGACTGTTCAGCCGACTCACATTGGGACTGTCGCGGTGGCTCAACAGTGTCACAAGCACTTGAAGTAGCAGTGTCGATATCCGTGTCGGCACTCTTCTCACTCCACGCATGTAGTGTTGGCGACGCATGACATGTTGGTTTTGGTCCGCTGCGAGGGCTAGACATGGCCGCATCAAGAACATCTAGCGCGCGTGGCCCATGCTCTTCTAGTAATCGGAGTCGGGTGCGGCGTTCGTCTTCAGCTTCATACTGAGTGCGAGAATGGTGGTCGCATTGTTGTAAACATTGTGCGAGCCTCAACAAACACACGCATTCAAGTTCGAAATTATTCTCCCACGCGTCTTGTTCATCTAATTTCTTATCCTCGTTTGCGTCTTCTAAGCTCCGTCTAATATTGTCTTGGATACCCTCGATGTTTGACTTCAAACCGGACGCCTCATCGTAAAGGGAACGTGCGGCAGAAACATCTAGGCGGCCAAGAGCGTCTGCACTGAAACAATCAGTTCCTAGCAGGTCTAGGTGAATTTTTATCTTTTGCCTCACCCTCGTCAGTCGACGCTTCATGTTGGACCTCGATTGGATCATCTGCTTGTATTCGGGGGTGGACGAGACTAGCAGCCGCTCCGAATCTCCTGCACCAGCGTCCGTGCCATCGGTCTGGTCCTTGCTGGCGTCCTCATTACCGGCCTCATGGGACTCATCCGCTGTACCATCCACGGCTCGTGGATCTACGCTCGTTTGAGCGGCTTGGGTCACCGGTAATTCTGCAGCAGTTGCACCGGTTGACTCGACAGGATGTTCCTGTTCAGAGGTTGTTTGTTCGTTGGGTGACGACATCCTGGTCACAGCACCATGTCTCGATTGACGCACAACCAAAACGTCTCGAGAGAGTTTCACTTTACTAATCCCAACCAATCCAGTCACACAAGTAACTACAGTTAGTGATTCCAACTTACTTCTCAAATCCGTACCCTCATTCCCAAAGAGTTACTGGATACGAGCCAAGACAATGTAACCTTTCTCTACCATCACAAAGGAATAATAACTGGCATGCGCAAGAGCAGCGGAAGTCAAGCCGAGAATGTCGCGTGCACTACGGACTGCACGATGGAACATTTTTTAACCCTAGGAACGGCTATTCATGCACCGACTAGAGTAGAGGCAAAGTGTACTAAATGGTGAAACACAATGTCAGTACGACAGTAGGGGACAAGAGTAACTAGAGTCAGCTATGCACGACTAGACCAGGCCGAGTCATGACAGCAGTCATTACACTACAAGTCCATAAAGTTGACGGGGAACTCATCAGAGGAGAAGCAGTTGTTGAATGAAGGGGTTAAGCTGAATAATGCTATTTTATAGAGAAGATACCGGCGCAAGGCGTAAACACTCAACTAACTCACATATGTGACAAATCAACATGTGACAAGCGTCGTGTGGTCTCGTCGGGTCAAATGAAAAACCTATTACTACTATTTGACTAGATAGGGAAGGCCTCTTTTACGGGCAAAGCAAAGCACAATCATCACCATGTATCAGTACAGTGAGTAGTTAAACCCAACACGAATGAAAAATGTGAAATGGAATAAAAACAATATTTGTAAAAAATAAATAAATTAAAATTAAAATTCAATATCGAACACGAATAAAATAAAATAAACAATATGTAAAAAATAAACAATATCGAACACGGAATTAATTCCGGAACTATCTACTCAACCAATTCATAATGCAATACCCGCACACTGCGTCAGTGATGGAACTCCGCTACCCGATCAACATGCAGAGACCACTCAATCACATGCTTAGATTTAGTTAGAGGCCGCTCTCCACAATGGCCAACTCCCTCATCGCATTAACTGGACGATGGTAGGCCGAACGTGCACCGCGAATGCACATTATGGCTGCCCTGAGCAAAGCGAAGGACAAGCGACACCGCACATAGGCCATTAGCTGGGCATACGGTCGATCGGCAGTTGCCAGCAATGCACACAACCGCTTAATGAATGCAGTACACTCCGGAGCACAACAACCCGCCGTGGTAAAGACTAGAGGGGTAAATGAACCACGGTCGACATTGTTGATACGCTCGGCATACTCACTCTTCTTGCGGCGCTCATGTTGCTTCAGAAGATCACTGACGGGCTTGCTCTTGTATGATGCTGCATCCGGGTGGAAGACCCGGACATCGAAGAACGCATTCTGAGCCCGGGTCCAGAAC